GGCTTTAAACTCATGTTTCCTGTAGCTTATGTCTTTATGAAGTGATCATGGGTTGTTTCTACTCTGACACCATGTAATGTCGCTCTTGCTGGGACATTCTATTAGGAACCACGCTAGCAGATAACTACTAAGTCAGCCATGTATGTTAGGAGAGAGAGAACATGCTCTTCTGTTTTTAGAGGTGGCAGTATTTTACGATACATCACAATCTCCATCAAGTGTTGCCCTGGAATCAGAGCCTGAGCAACCTCAAGCCTCCCAGCCTCAAGAATCCCTGCCTCCAGTGTTGCCTCATCCATAGTGTACACTGAACTGGTGGAGTGGCCAGGGTAGCACCCCAATTTATACCCCAATTTAATACCCCCAATTTATACCCCAAGTTCGCAGGACGTGAGTAGTTAACTAACACGTAATGCAAACGCCATAACGGCATGGTCTGAGAGTGTTGGGCATAGTACGAACGGGTCGAGCTTGCTAGAGACGCACCATGGTCATAGCGAGAGCGTGGTCAGGTCGCAGAGACATCTCCATGTAACGTGATGTTCTGCACACAAAGGGCAACTTCGTCAATATGATCGATTTGGATGACATTTGTCACGCGTAGTTAGACTTATATTGCTGAACGGCGCATATATCACCGCCAAAGAATGCATAACTGTACAGCCAGGTGTACATGAGCCGGCAAAGGCAATGTCTGCTGAGGCAGTTACAAGTATTAGATTTAGACACAAAGAAACCATCAAACCATGAAGAACACAGGTCAAGAGCGGTATTTCCTTACTGCTTATAAGGCTGGTGAGGTAAATGGAATGAACGGTTACAAATACATCGCAATATATGCTGTTATATGCTAGGACTATATATGCTTTACATTGCACGGTCGTTCAATTGTCAGACATTGCGCGACGACATGCCCCACCAAGAAAATCAGGACACAGAAATAATGCATACGGAATCATCAGGGTCCGTGATGTCCCCCAAGGTACTGTTCCGGCAAACGTACCTCTGTGTACGGTCCGGTATACCAGGAACGCTACCCTGATAGCGTAACTATTTGCATATGGTAGGTTAGGTTATGGGAGTAGGCGTAGGCGGCTCCCTAGACTCGTACTGGAGTAGGCGAGGCTACGGTCCGGCATATTAGATAGCTAACCAGGGTACATTCAGTATACACTATACAGGACCGTTTACAAGGTACGTTCCGCCAGTACCCTGGGGCGACATAGATCCCTCTCAGCAATAATAACGGGCACATGGTTTGTTAAGCGTGACTATGTAAGCTAACATAAACTACGATATACTGAATATATAACAGCTCAAACTTTAGACAAAAATGTTTGACGTCTCGCAGTTTTGATTACCATCAGACACAACAAGCAATCGTCATGAAAACTATGAAATTGGTCAATTAAGGTTCATTTCGCGCATTTTAGATGTCGCCAGTATGTATCGCATTTACGAAATCAGTGTATTATAATGTATAACACGCTAACAATACAATATTTTGGCGGTTCTAAACTAATGCAAGGAGCAAGGAGCAAGGATCACTCTTAGATGAAAGGAGCTGTTTTGAGTGTCACAATAGAAACAGCACAGAATCCCACAGCATAGAAAACAACATCGAGATCAGATTGTGTCGGGCTAGTCGGGTCCACTCGTCGACCCATAGCAGACCTCGCCCATATATATATATATGCTAATAGAATCATATTTGAATTTTAATTTAAATAAATACCTATATAGCCAATAAAATTATGTGTTGGGTGTTTATGTCTATTATATCATGACTATTGTATACTTTTTTAAGCACAACGGTTTTTCCCATTAATCATGGGAAGATGGCTGCGCCCAACTCCTTGTTTGGATATAAGAGTCAAGATGTTTATTTGTGCATAAGTCGGAATTATACAGTTACCGCGCCACAATAGGAAATATACAAGTCATAGTTAATATCTAGTTACAAAGGATGAACAGGAGTGGCAAAAGAACCGCCAGTCATATATAAATAATGATATGGCAGCTTCAAAAAGTTTGTTCAAAATTGTGCAAAAGGTTGAAAAGCTGTTTTGTCGCCTCAATGACGTCACAGTGTCGACTGTAGAATGATTTTTTTTGTTAATAGGTTATGGTTAGGGTTGGTTAGGGTCACAATGCCCACCTTAAAACAGGAGTTTGAGTCCGTACGCCGGTACGGACGTGACGACACTGTGACTGTGACAGGCATGAGCGATGAACAAGCTTTCAACCCCAGCGGCTCGAATAAGCGACGCAGAAGGGCCAGGGCAATTTTTTAGGGCATGTCAGAAATCCCTTTGAATTTCTCAAATTTGAGGGGCACAGAGGCATTTTAAAAGGCCACCAAGGTACCCGTAACCTCTCAAATTTGGAAGGGCACACAACGGCGCTTTTGCTAAAATAAAGGAAATCATAACGAAATTCAGTCACATCAAAATCGTCTTGACTTTAATGCTACAAAACATATGCCCCTATGTAAGGCTTACACTGTATACACTGACCCTGATACCCCCTCTGCTAATGAGAAGTACGTAACAAGAAATTTTACATGCCCGCTATCAGGCGGAATTAATTATCGATGCCGTTATTATTCGCCTCCTGCCCGACTATCGTTATAAGTCATCATCTGCAACCTACAGCAAAGCACGCGACACGTGTTATGTTGACTGGATCTAAAAACGAAACTAGGGCAGTAGATTCAAGGCACCGACGGGCAATTACACAAAGGGCAGCAGGTCGACTGCCTCGGCGGGTTGGATTTTCAGGGGCAGTACGGGCGATTGATGGGGGCAAAACAAAACCGACGGCAAATGCCGTCGAGTTGCCGTCGGGTTAATTTTCGGAGCCCTGTTTTTCAACCTTTTCTTGCAAAATGTCTTGGATTTTACCTGATCCAACACCCACACCACCTTCTCGGCCTGAAGTTATGTTTGAAGACCACATGCAGAAACTCACACGCGAGAAGAAACCTTATAAGCTGCGAACGTGTGAATGCTGCCTTCTCGCCATTTGTGCTGCTGTGAAGACACACATGAGGAATTCACACGGGAAGAAAACGTTTAAGTGCGATCTGTGTGATGCTGTTTCTTCTCCCAGCTGAGTTATGTGGAAGACACACATGAGAAACTCACACGCGAGAAAAACCGTTATACGCTGCGATCTATGTGATGCTGCCTTCTCCCGTCTGAGTAGTGTGAAGGACACACATGACGAACTCACACAGGAGGGAAACCATATAAGTGCGATCTGTGTTGATGCTACCTTCTCACAGTCAGGTCATATGAAGCGCACATATGAGAACTCATACGCAAAGCAAAAACATCAATCAAATGTAACATTTGAAGTGAGTGCAAGCGTACGCTTGAAGACAATCTATAAACACAACACGACAATGTATTATAATGTCTAGATGATGTTCGCACGATGCTAAGCAGAAAGTATGTCTCGAACTGTTCAGGACTCACAATGTAAGAGCAGTCTTGGCTCTGCCTTGAAAACGCGAGCCCACAGTACACATGGTGAACTGGCTGGAGCCGGGGAAGTTCCAACAAATGCAACTCAACTGTTACCAGAAAAACTTTTTCTAGATTGTAAGCTAACTAGGAATTGCTTGTGAAAGCGGAAACCTCTTGTGTTATACAACTCTGATGGCTATATTTTTGTTATTCAATGAGTATTACTCTACCTAATGTGTGACCGTATTACAAATCGTGTGAATTTTAATACCATTTGTGTAAGAATTATTATGTTGAGGACCATTACATATGTTATTCTAATTAAAAAACGCATTAGTACGGTATAATTATTTTGTAATTTCTTATTGTCTTCTCCCCGAAACCAGAAAAAAATCTGTATATGTGTATGCTATAAATACTACGCCGCACTCACTCACGCACGGCACATTTGCAGACACTGCACGCCAAACACTACGGAGAGAAACAACAACAACAACAGGATTATTTAATTGGAG